TACTCGCTCATAAGCTGTGTGTAATTTCTTTATCAATCTTTAGCATCCAGAGTTTATCAGTCAAATTTTTAGCTTCCTCAGTTACCATATTTATGCACAACAATGGAGAGAGCAGCTCTGATAGTACTCAATAAAAGTGTTCCAAAAATGCAGGACAAAAGCTAGAGTACAAAGCAAGTAGCCTTCAATGAATTTATATGAAGGGTGGCCAGATTGAGGCTCACAAGCAGCATGTGACTCTTCGAGTTTATTTTGCAGCTCACCACTTGCAGGCGCCTGCTTGCAATTCTGAAACATCTGACATTTGCTATATGTGACTCTTTTGTTGAGCAAGTCTAGCCACTAAAACCCAGAATTTGGGAAACAAATAGCATGACATTGAACTCTGAATACTGGAGGACAAATACGGACAGGTGTAACTAACTTGGTGGGATGAGTCCCTCCAATGAATGGAAAGATACAATTTCTCAAGAAGAATAAAATAAACAGAAATGGAGGTGGATTCATGCTGTATGTTAAAGATGCATATCTCTTCAAAGAAACACAAGAGGATGAGCTTAGTAACCCTGTCAAGAGCATGTGGATTAAAATAAAGGGAAGAAAGAATAAAAAATACATGGTGATGCAGTGTACTACAGACCACTCAGTCAAAGAGAAGACAAGGATGAAACAGAAAAACTCATTGCCAATGTTTTGAGGAGGCACGATGCAGTAGTAATGGGGGACTTCAGTTTTCCCTGATATCTTTTGGAGACAAATTCTACCAACCATGGCCCCTCCAAGAAGTTTCTGACTTGTGATGCTGATAACTTGCACCTGTTAAAAGTGGAGGAAGGAACTAGATTAGCTCTAATGAACAAGGACGACCAAGTGGACAAAGTTACTGGTACTCTGGGGGAAAATAAGCATGTCCTACTTGATACTAAAGGAAGCAAAAACCAGTACTGGCCAAATATGTACCCTGGAATTTAGGGAAGCCAATTTTAATAAATACAGAACAATGATAAATTAGTTCCATAGCAAGCAACTCTAATGAGAAAAGGGAACCAAGATGGTGGGGACTTTTAAAACATGAGATTCTAAAGGTGCAATTACAAAAAGATAGACAACAGAATTCAATGTGGCTTCAGAAAAGACTTAGACATTATCTGTAAATGAAAAATGGACATATAGAAAATGGGAGTAAAGCCAGATTACAAAGGAAGAATGTAGGCAAGGATTGCAAGGATGGTGTCAGAAAGGCTACAGCTGAGAATGAGCTGAGGTTAGCAGGTGATGATAAAAACAAAAAGTATTCTGATGTGTTCATAGTAAGACAGAGGAAACGAACTACTTCAACTACTTAGTGAAGATGGTAAAATAACAGATGAAAATAAAGAAGTACTCAATTCTTTCTTTGGCTTAGTCTTCTCCCCAAAGAGGATCTATGATCTCCCTGGCAAGGTGAAGTACAAGCTGAAGGGTCAGAATTGAATCTTGAGATTGATAGGCAAATGGTCAAGGAACATCTCATTACTTTGAATGAGTTCACATCTCCAGGACTGCATCCTAGAATAATATAGGAACTGGCAGAAAAACTCTTAGAATCTCTGTCTATTATTTTTGAGACAGCATGGAGGATGACTGAACTGCCGGATAACTGGAGAAGAGCTCATACTGTCCCTATCTTTAAAGGTGGAGGCAGGGGACAACTTTGGGAGCTACAGAGTAGACAGACTGGCATCAATCCCTGGGAAAGTTTTCGGCAGATTATAGTCGTTTTAGAAAGATCTTCAGAACAAAGCTGTGCATCATGTTGAAGCAAACACATAAAAGCAAACAGCAGGAGTATACATGTATTTGTCAATAATATATCCTGCTAACTAATCAGAACTCATTGTTTGAGCAGGACACCTGCCTTGTGGACTGTGGGAATGCTGTGGACACAATAAATCTGGACTTCAGCAATGCTTTGCACGAAGTGCCCAATGATATTCATATTTAGAAAACTAACTAAAAAGGGGATAGAAGGAACAATTATCTGGTGGATATGCAGAAATGGACTCAAAGCAGCCTTATCAATGGCACCTTCTCTGCAGGGTTGAGTCCTGAGCCAAATTCTCTTCAACTCTGTTATTAATTATTTGGATTAAGAAAATTATAAGATTTGCAAATAGGATAGCTAAGAAATTCCAAGTGAGCTTGATAGTTTGGAGCACTACGCTGAAAACAACAGAATGAAATTTAACAGGGTCAAATGCCAAGTTCTGCACCTTGGATAAGGAAACCGAACACAAGGTTGTATGATATACTAACAATACTACAAGTAAGGAGGATCTTAGAATTGTAATAGGTTACAAGCTGAATATCAGTCAACCATGTGATGTGGCTGCAAAAATGGCAAATGCTATTTTAGGCTGCTTGAATAATAGTATCACTTCCAAATCATGCAAAGTACTAATTCCCCTTTACTCAGCACTTATTAGGCCTCATCTGCAGCACTGTGTCCAGTTCTGAGCACTACAGTTTAAGAAAGAGGTAGACAAACTGGGAAAGATGATCTGGGGAATGGAAGGAAAGCCCTGTAAAGACAGACTGAAAGAATTGGGCATGTTGATCCTTGTGCAGAGTGAAAGGAGAAGTGATAGCACTTTCAACTACTTGAATGGTTGTCATACAGAAGAGGTCCAGGATTGCATTCCAGAGTGCAGTACATGGCATCATGGGTTTGTTACAGCATGCCAGTCTGTTCAAGAAAAACTTCCTGTCGGTTGAACAATAGGCTAATGGAACTGATTACCTCCAGGAGGCACACAGGAGACTTTGAGGTGCTGCTAGGGATGCTTTATCTTGGAGTCTTGAATGGAGGAAGATTTGGACCTGATGGCCTTACTGACCCCTACTAACTTTACAGTTCTATCATAAGGCATGCACAAATTTTAAAGGACGCAAGTTAGGTGAACTGTTAAACTAAGGCTACGGTTAATCTAAGTTTACATGCTGATTAAGGATGCTTAGGATACAGTTGGTTGAATCACAAATTCAGGGTCAAGGTGCCCATCCAAAGGCATAATTCAGACAACAAACAAATTTAGGTTTGTCCACTAAGCAAAGAATGTAATTCAATGGCCAAAATGTATTCATATTTCAATTATTGTTATTACTATGATTGTTAGGACACATCATATTTAAATGTACAATAACTGTTTCCTTTTGTCTGCAGTATTCCTTAGGCATTATGTGCATTTATATATTCTGTTATTTACATGTATGGGGAAGAATATAAATAAATTTTAACTCCTGAATCCTCAGAAGATTGGGAACCAATGAGGCCAGACTATCCCCATTTAGAGGTGCTTATTGTTTCCAGATCAGATCCTGAAGCTACCTCAGCCTCAAGTGAGAAGACTGGATCAAGGAGTATCCTAAATTACGTACTGCTGCTTCAGAAATGTCTTGAACAGCCCAGTTCCTGGACATGAGAACTATGTAGCCACAGAATGCTAAAAAGCTATAACTTTAAATAAATGCCCTGTAGGTACTTTTAAAAACCCTTTTTATTCTGGAGAAGATGCAGCAGCCATGGCACTCTAGCATGGGCATGGGAGTAAAAATGCTTTTAAGAACCCTGGTTGAAAGTTCTGTTCCTATTCTCGAATTAGAATGAACACCTTGAAGTATTCAACTTCAGTTTATTATACCTCATTGAACCTATTACTGAATCTAGACCACTGAGTCAGCAATTTTATGTAAAAATGCATGAGGTACAAGAAGCCACTTTGCAGGATACCATATTGCAGGTGCCATGGAGTTGAGAGGGTAAAGAATAAGGATCCTTAGTCAGATAACAGAAGAGGATCTTTAGGTCTTTGATGTCACTAAGCCAGTAAGAGGACTTCATTCAATAGGACTTCCTTCCTGGTCAAATGTATACAGGACTGGAGACTTGGTATATGATTCCTGCTCTTCAATATAGTATTGGAACTGGAATTTCTTATCATTGGATTTATATGTTTGTAGTGGATGGGATTTGACTTGAGTGCTTACATACATTTATTTCTCTCTCTTTCTCTTCCTGCTACTCTGATTCATGCTCAAGGCTTTCAGATAATAATAAAAAGAATGGCATACATTCAGTGCAGAGCATATTTGTGGCTGCCTTCTGTATTAATGCATATTGACCTAGTAAATGGAGATGTCTGCCTGAAAGCTGTTAAGCTATCAGCATTCTAGTACTAATATTATTTTAGCTTTCAGGCAAGTTAGTGGTAGCTATATGGATTGCACTAAGGATTAAGAGGTGGTAAAGGTGAAGCTGCAGCCTTTTTCCAAGAGACACATTACATGCATTCCAAACTTTCTTAGGTATGAAGGGAATTAGGAATCTAGAATCTGTTTGAATGCAGATTTTGCATCATTCTATAAATGTCCTTTGAAATCCATGCCAGGATTACCGAAGGAGGAAAATCATTTTCTGTGGTTGGTCAGAAGGGAACTGAGATGCTTGTTAGAAGAAGAGATTTTTTTTTCCTTAGGAAAATTCTTGCTAGAATCAAATGTAGTTTCATTTAAGACATGTGAAAGGGCACCCCAGAGTTATTAGGGAAGAAGCCAGAAATCAGTGGTGGAGCCCACACTTTGCATGCTGAAGGTTTCAGTTTCAGTCCATGGAAGGTCTAGTTAATAATGGTCAGGTAACATAAAGCAGAGAGATTTCTGGCTGAGAACCTGAATTGGTACTGATGGTTACAATACTCAGTACTGGTCTACACAGACCAATCATTTAATTCGGTATAAGGCAGGCTCCTTGTTGCCTGGCTGGATGAATGAGATCCTGCTGAAGTACTTTCCAATATTGTGAAGTAGCTATTGTTTGAGGCATATCGGCTTTTGAGAGAGGGAGATGAAACATGATAGCAGTGGTTGATCACAGGGAATTTATCTGTAAAACTGGCAAGCATTTGATAAAGTAGGATGCTCTTTAAAGTATTAATGAATCCTTCTGTATTTCCCTCCCAAAGGTTACGGTTTTGTAGATTTTGACAGTCCAGCAGCAGCACAGAAAGCAGTAGCATCACTTAAAGCAAATGGAGTGCAAGCCCAGATGGCAAAGGTAAGATTAATGAGTAAACTGATTCTTAATTCTTTACCTTTTCATGTCCTGATATTATACTCTGTGGTGATCATTCTGAGGGTTTTCTCCAGTAGCTTGCACTTTTCTAATAATCTTGTCTGTTAACTGATAGATTCATTTGTTTCCTGGCTTGGATGTTTTTTGATACCTGTATCCAAAATATTGGTTTCTTCTTCAAGCAATCTCATAAATATATACAAGACAGCTGTTGCAAGAGAAGAATTAAGATTTGCATGTTGCTATATAGGGGAAGGAAGGAAGGAAGGGGTCCTTTCAGGTGCAGAAAATTCCCTGAGCACTGACAGTTAGAAATCAAATTTGAATGTGGAGGAACAGTAGGTGTTGCATTGACCAGCTATTTGGAATGCAAGGAATTACTAAAGACTTGGTGGATGACTTGAGATGATTACCAGCTGTAGGAAGAAGGCCTTAAGTGGAGTGGAGTGGGCTAGCTTCAAAGCATATACATGAGCCAAAATGATATGTGATTGAGCTTTGGTCTTCAGGTGCTGAAGATAATATTAGATACTTTCTGGATGGTGGGGGAACACAGGAGTATAATTCTTGGTATTCCTTAAGTCATATTTGCATGCCTTGGAATTAATCTGCTGTTCATTTGCTGATTTTTTTGTTTGGAATGTCATGAATGTAGATGCATTTAGATTGACTCCTCTTTCTATTCATTCAGAAATTTGGCTACACTATATAGCTTGTACAGTCTATTGCATAGGAAAAGAAAAGGAACAAGAGGACACTGTCATCTTGAAGCAGTCTTGTGCTTTATTCTGTGTTTATTGTTTTGTTCTTTATTAACTTTTTTCAGTCTTTTTCCAAAAACTGTGTATTTGCAACAACACTTAAACATTGCTTTAGTCAAAGGCTTGACTACGGATTGTTTTGTCTTATTTACTAGACACACATTTAAAAATGGGATATGATCATAGATTTTAGATACTGAAGTGGCTACAAATGTCAACTCAAGTATGTAGTTTTTTTTTAAATTCACCATATAGTTGATTGAAATGTAAACAACTAAAATGGCAATGGATGTATTAGAACATACTGAGCCTTGTGGTTAGAAAACCCCATCAATATGAACTCACCCTTTATGGGATGGGGTTTTGTTTGTTGTCCAAAGGATGCGTAAGGAACTAGAACAAGTGTATGACCTTTCCTTTTTAGTCAGATTCTAATTTTCAAACACAGCAGAAGCCTTATGCATTAAAGACCTAGGAATGAAGCATGTAAAGTATGAAGGCATGGCAAAGTGATGTCAAAGGCATATTATGGGAGCTTACGAAGATCTGGGTCCTCTAAGGTTGGACTGTGTTAAATTGCTTAATATGTGACTCAAACAGAGGTGCCCAATGTTGTTGATGAGCCAGTTTGCTCCGATTTAGCTCAGTGGTAGAGCAGCTGCTTTGAAGGCAGAGGATGCCAGGTACAATCGCCAACTTCTCCAGGTAGGACAAGGAAACAGTGCTGCCTGAAACTCTGGCAAGCCTTTGACTGTATCTTGAAGCTTCTGATGTTTCTAGCACAAAAGTGACACCTCCACAGTCCCTGGCTCTTTTTGGAACCCCCATTGTATTCTCTACACAGTGTATCAGTGTATAATGAAGGGGCACCTCATTATATGGTTGAATATAATGAAACATGGTCAAAACTGCCACCAAGCTGGTTCATATTCAGGGTGTTTGGAGACATGCCAATCAGCACCAGTTTTCATGTTTCTGGAGAAAGGCTTCTGCTAAGTTTGATATCTGTTGATTGATTTACTCCTTCTGTAAGCCTTTTCTAAATGGGTAACTTTCTGTTTCTTAGAAATCTTTTCCCCAGAAAAGTTTGAAACTTTTCCGAGGTTGCTTATGGAAATGAGCCATAAGGGCGAATTAGCTGAGTGATTATTCAAGCCAAGATCAGAATCTCAATGAAGAAAGCATGAAATATTGATGCAATTTAGAATTCCTGTAGTTTCTGCACCTGAGAATCTCACATCACATACTTCCAATATTAATTAAGTCTCAAAGGTCACTGTGAACTAGGCTTCAGCAAGCATTATCTGCATTTCAAAAATAGGACCTGAAATGGAGAGTGAGAGAAGATTAAAGTTGGGCTTGAACCTGAATAAAGATGAAGTGGGCTTGAGCTCCTGAAGACCAGAAATTCTGACTAAAGACAACAGGAAGCTTTACTGCTTTTAAGCATTTCAGTATCTGTTTCTGTATTGCTCTTTGCCTACTCCATCTGCCATTCTGTTCTGTGGTCAAGGCACAACTATACATGCTCAGTCATTTGTATCTGGCCAGGGCGACTTATTTTATATTGTTAATTTGTTTTATATTTTGAATGTATTATATTTTAATTTATGTTGTGAGCCGCCCTGAGGCTTCGGCAAATGGGGCGTCATAGAAATGTTTTAAATAAATAAATAGATAGATAGATGGCAGCCTGGGTAGTTTGGTTAGAACAGCAGCCTTGACTAAGAAATACGCTAAGCTGTGATGAATCCTGCAGCCCCTCTAATATCTGCAATGGGGGGAATTATTCAGCAAGAGTAGGTCAAAGTTTATGTCAGAAGTTCAATGACTGTTGCAATTGTTTGTGAGTAAATGCTAACTTGCTTCTGTAAGCCTTCATTCAGCTGTCCACAATCTGGGTTTCTGGTGGTAAATAAGAGCCAGTAAACTTGGTAGAATGTTCATTTTGTAGGTTGCTAGGACTCAGCACTGCTTCTGTAAAATGATGGGCCTGGAACTGCACAGACGTTGCTGACCTACCTTTATGGGTATATTTATGTATGTATTGGATGTATGCATGTGTTGGTAAAATTGCACATTTCAGAAACCTTACCTCTGACAATTTTTTAAATATGAAAGAGTCAGGATCACATTGTATCTCTTAAATTATTTATTTATTTAACATGTCTTCTCCCATTGACTGAAGCAACTGATTTCTTTAACACTATGAATTGGAACTTATTCTTTAAGTTCTTTAATTCCATTGCTCAAGGCAGAACAAACAGAAGGGCAAACACACAATACTGTTAAACTAAATATAACAATGGTTGGATTGAGGCATTGTCATTTTAGAACAGACCCAATGAGATTAAGGGGCCTGTTCAGAGCGTGACAAACAGTCTGTTTCCAATCTTGTTTGTTTATTTGAAGAAGGTAATAAAATAAATAAAATGAAAGTTCTAAGACTGGGGAAAAATTATTGCAGAGAAAACACAAAGTGAGGTTTAGAGATGCAGTTAGTAAGAGGAAGTGGAGATCATGTAATAAGCTAATCTCTTATGGATGTATTCCACCTTGGATCCAGTATTCCCAAAGTAAAAGTTACATTGGCCAAAACAGATGATTGTGTAAATAATTTAAAACTTTCATTCTTTTAGAAAATTGCATGTTCCAAAAATTTTTTTAAAAACCCTTTAAAGGGAAATTCATGATGTATATGCTATTACTGTCTTAAGATAAACGGAAAGACAATGACTTCAAATCCAAGTGGGAAAAATTGTTAGGATATCAAATTTCAGATCAAGTATGGCTAATAATACTAATTGTAAACTGATGTTTGTACACTTTCTCATCTTTCATCAGTATAAGAAAGACTTATGATAAAGTCTTTCTTAAAAAGTAATGAGACTTACACAAATGGTACTTGATTTCCTAGAGGGTGGCTAAAATGTATGTCAATATACATGCTATGCATGGTAATGGCGGCCTCACAAAGATGGTACTGAGTATATTTGGTGGTAATGACCTAAGTTTAAAACATTTAGGGAAATATCTTGCTGATGCTACAGTGGACTAGTTCCCATAATTAAAAGGAGTGTTAATTCTGAACATTAATCACTGCAACAATTCTAATACCTCAGAAGTGTTCTTATTACAGGATTGTTAATAAAAGTTTAGAAAACTGCAGAATTAAGAATAACAAAAAAGTGGAAACAACAGGGATAGAATCATGTACACTTAAAAGCACTGGTATTACCTGACAGGTGAAAAGGAGTAATGTCAGCAAGTGAAGTTATGCTCTAAAAGCCTTCTTTGCATTATCTCTTATTAAGACTCTGAAAACTCTTGGAGGAGGAGGAGGATTTAGAAAAAACAGTCTTTAAAGAGAGCACTACTGCACTGGATGTTGATCACAAAGAGTTACTGAACAGGAAAGAGAAAAAGAGGAAAAACACAGTAAAGCCCAGACTAAATATGCTTTCAAGTGCCAACCTATTGGAGTTTCTAAGTTTAAAGTGGCCAGATTACTGAGAAAATGGACACATATGTCAAAGAATGGACATGACTTCTAAACAGTTGAGTAAAATCTAGTAAATTGCCCAACTGATAATTAAAGGTTGCTATTTCTGGTGTGTTGTGAACAGTGACATCTGCTTGCATTCTTGGTTGATCTTGGTTTGGTCCCAGTGAAATATTTTGAATTGATGCATATTGCTATATGTAGAATCTATTTATATGACCTATTTCCTTAAGATATTAGCTAAAATCAGTTGTTTTCACCTCCAGAAAAGTCTTCGAACAAAACATCAGTACTGTAATACTGTGTAATATGGCTCTTAAACTCATAAAGAATTCAGTTGCATAATTCAGACTTATTGGTACAAATTCCCTAATTTCCTCCATTTTTCTTGAAAAATAAGTCCAGACGTATCCTCCACTTGCCAGTTTACAACATTGTATTTCAACACAGAAGAAGCCACAACATATGATGGTACATATAATGCTTTGGACTCCACATTCATGACAATGTCTTTAATCTGCAATAATCTGCCCCATCACTGTGATGGAATATGTCAGCTGTTTTAACCAAGTTTTATCAAAAAACTTTAGAGGCTTAAACTTTTAAAATTGTGTATATTGGAATTTTAAACTGTTTTGAATTGGAATTTTATACCTCATTTTATTAAATCTGAGTTTTTATTGTTTCAGTTTTATTAATGTACTTGGATGAATTGTTGT